TTTATGAGTATATATATTTGTGACGTTTCCTTTTTCACTCCTGATATTTTTAATTTGTGTTTTTCTCTTTGTATCTACAAATTTATTTTTATTGATAACTTCTAAAAACAAACTTAGTTTGATTATTTTTTGTTTCCTGTGTCATTTTTGTCTCTTTATTATTTCTTTTCTCCTATTTATTTGGATTTAATGTGATTTTTTATTTTACATTTCTTCTTATGTATATCACTAGGCATGAATTTTTCTGAGCTTCCACTTATCTGAAATATAATCAATTTTAAAGTTAAATTTTGTGGGACAGACAATTCTAGATTGACTTTTTTTCCTTTTCCCACTTTAAAGACCTTATTCTATTGTCCTCCAAACTGTTTCTCATATATCATTAAAATTGGTAGTTTCCTACATTTAACATGGTTTATTCATTAGGTAGCCTTTGTTTGTTTGTTTGTTTTTGTTTTTTGGCTTTCAACATGTTAACTATTACAAACCTGAGCATCGTTTTTTAAAAAAATTTATCCTTACCAAACATTAGTCAAACATTTTAATAGGTAGGTTTATGCTTTATCCAAAAAGTGCCAATATTTACTCAAATATTTTTCTGCACAATTTTATTTCTAGAATTCTGATTGCAATTATATTAGAATGATTCATACTGTCCAAAATGAGACATTATCCATTGTTTTCAAACATTTTATTTTTTATGATTATGCTTCACTTTTATAATTTCTATGAATCTATTTACTTTTACTTACTTTTTCTTCTGCTGTCTCCAATTTACTGTTATGCAAATTTATATTCATTAAATTTTTCATATTCTATATTATAATCTTCAATTCTAAAATTTTCAGTTGGTTTATCCATATTGATCCAATTGCTCTGCTGAGATTTTCATTCTCTTTAATCATGTCAAACGCTTTGTTCATATACCACAGAAATACAAAGGATTATACAAGAATACTATGAAAGACTACAGGTCACCAAATTCAATAACTTAGATTAAATATACAACCTTCCTAGACTGAATCACGAAGAATTGGAAAATCTAAATAGACCGATAAACAGTATGGAAATTTAAACAATCATCAAAAACTTCCCTCCCAAAAAAGTCCAGGACCAGATGTCTTCGCTAGTGAACTCTATCATACATTCAAAGGTGATTTAATATCTGTACTTCTCAAACTCTTCCAAAAAATTAAAGAAGCGGCAACACTTCTTAATTCATTTTATTTATTTATTTATTTAGGCAAGGCAACCCTTGGTTGACTTCACAGATTGCAAGGACCTTGTCAGCTTGCAATCCCTTATTTTTTATTTTTTACACCTACAGCACGTGGTCTTCCTAGGTCGTCTTCCATCCAAGTACAAACCAGGCCTGACCCTTCTTAGCTTCTGAGATCAGACGGGGTCAAGCTTGTTCAGGGTGGTATGGCCGTAGACTCCTAATTCATTTTATGAGGCCAACATCACCCTGATACCAAAACCTGGTAAAGATAACACAAAAAATGAAAACTACAGACCAATATCTCTGATGAATACAGATGCAAAAATTCTAAACAAAATACTAGCAAATCGAATACAACAATACATTAAAAAGATTATACACCATGATCAAGAGTGGTTCATTCCAGGGGCACAAGGATGATTCAACATATGCAAATCGATCAATGTGAAACCACTAAAACAAAATAAAGGATAAAAATCATGTGATCATATGAAGCAGAAAAAGCATTTGACAAGATATAGCATCCATGTATGATTAAAACACTTAATAAAATGGGTGTAGAAGGAAAGTACCTCAACATGATAAAGGCCATATATGACAAACACTCAGCTAACATCATACTTACTAGTGAAAAACTAAAAACCTTCCTTCTTAGATCAGGAACAAGACAAGGCTGTCTGCTATCACCACTCATTCAATATACTATTGGAAGTCCTAGGTAGAGCATTCAGGCAAGAATATTAAAAGGCATCTCAATTTGGAATGAAGAAGTCAAATTGTTACTTTGTACAGATGGCATGATTCTTTATATAGAAAATCCTAAGCATTCCACTAAAAAACTATCAGAAACAATGAACAAATATAGTAGAGTTGCAGGATACAAAATCAATGCACAAAAATCCATTTTATGTGTATATACTAAGGATGTGTTTTTAAATAAAATAATTATCATTTTATCTAGTTGTTCATATGAAAAATTATTCTTCAACTTTATGCCAAATATTTTGATGATGGAATGGATCTTGTGGAATCCCTTTAAAGGATGTTAAATTTTGTTCTGGAAAAGAGTCAAATAACTGGTAAATTATTTTGTTCTGCCAGGCTTGATTTTATTGTTTGAAAATGCTGTTTCTGTTTTGACTTTATTATAGTATCTGGCCTTTATGTAGCACATAATCTTTATTTCTAAGGCCTAAATTTACTCTGGTGCAAATTTATCTTTGCAGGGTTCCAAATTCTCCCAGCACTGTATGACTTTTGGTGTTTTTATTCAGCTTATAGTCCTAGGAGTAGTCTCTCTCTACTAGCCTCGAAAGGTTTTACCCCATAAAACCACGGATAAAACTTAGGTAAAGATTCATAGAAACCCCCATGTAGACGTCTGATGTTCACCTTTGTTTATCTTTCTCTTCTCTTTCCTCTTCAGTGTTCTGGCCTGAAAATTTCTACCATTTCAACTACTCTAAGTTCTGAGCTCTGCCTTTTCATGTCAGCAAAAACACCATGTTCTGTTTTTTGCCTCTTCTCCTCTTCTAGATAGTGTTCCCAAATAGAGGCATGAAGTACAAATGGACTTGTACTTGAAATTTTTCTTCTCTCAAAGATCACACTCCTCTTGT